AAAGAAAGATTTTATAATTTTAATACTTCGTTGTTTTGATTTTACGTTACACCTGATCTTATAATGTGATTGGTCAAAAATCATGTGATTGCGCTCTCCCATTCGCCACCACTAAGTTACTAACATTATGATATGATGCGTCAAAAGGCCATAACTGACGCGTGCCGTAACATTTGACTTGTGTCGTAAAAAATTTGACCTTTGCACAATATTTGATTTATATAGTGTTGCAAATGTCAGATATTATGACCTACGTCGTTACGACACTTGCAACCCGAAAATGTGTACCAGGTTGCGCTCCGGATGATCATGTGACACTCCGGAATGAATATCCGGAAAATTTTTGAAGCATACGGTCAATTGTATATATTTCTTTCTTTAATTATGTACTTCATGCAAAACATAATAATACGTATACGTTTATGAAAGATTAAAAACTTTCATTAATTTGTTTATTCGCGTTAATGTTTTTGACAATGCTTTTTTTTTTGAAAGCTTTCTTTTTTTACGTGTTTTCATTATGATCATATCGATGTTTTCTTGAGAAATCCTACGCTTTCTTCATTGTGCTGATGCAGGTTGTACTCGAATTTTTCTCCACTTTGTAATGATTTTAGAATTCCGTTGATAGAGATAAGAAGCAAGTTTGTCCAATGATAAAGATTCAGCTTTTTCGTATTCTTTCTTAAAATTTTCAATACCTGCAAACAGTTGTTTATTATTATTTTTTTTATTTATATGAAGCGAAATGTGAGACGAAATTTTGAAGTGAAATATGAAGTAAAATGTGAAGCGAAATATGAAGCGAAATATGAAGCGAAATTACACTATATAGTATAATGTAGCGGTAGTTTATTTCAATCACATGATCATCCGGAGCACCTGGTCGATTTGCACGACACTTTTGAAGTGACGATACGTCAATTGGACGTAACCATACGTCTGCATCTATAGTTACAACTAATTGTCGCATGTTTGATAAATTTGATTGGTCAAATAAATAATCACATGTTTTTTGTAACAATTTGATTGGCTAAAGAAATTTAACATTTAAAATTTATTATGTAGATAATCAACCAACGATTAATTGGTTAAAAATTTTCCAATCGATTAGTCAACTATATAGTTGTCAACTAGTTGGTTTTTCAGGGTCAATTTGAAATTTAGATATCAACGTTAAAAATTTTTCAACGTCAACTAACGATTTTGGATCACTATTTCCAATCTCCTATTTTAACACAACTACGACGGTTTTTGCAAATAAAATTAATTGGTTCTCGTAACATATTAAGGCAAAGAGCACCTAGAACCCGTATAAATATAAATAAGCATTTTATTTAAACACATAAGTATATCGATATACCAGGGCCACGAAATAAAATTTTCCAAATTTGCTGATTTTTCGGGGTTACGACCAATAAAAATAATGACTTTGTGCACGTGATCCGACCGATAAAAATGTTTTGAACACACTCTTAGATTCTACTAAACCTACTAAAGTCCACATATACTTTCTATTAACAGCTCTAACATGAATTCTAAAAAATGCACCTAAACTTCATATCATAATAAAATCACTTTATATATATTTGGATACCTATTTCTTCTTGTGCAGTTGAAAGAAGCTTTCCTGTTTACAATAATCTTTTACAGAGTTTAAGCGAAAATTCATTAAAAATGTTAAATATGTCGAAAATTCGTTAAAATGTTAAATATATTGTACTTTAATTAACGCAAATAAATTTTAATAAGAAAAAAATTTTTTGTTCACATTTAATAATCTGAAGTTTCTGAAGCCACATCTGATTGCAATGGTTCTGCTCGCTTCGTAGATAATCACGACAGTTATTCTGCAGACAAGTTTATTTCACAGACAATCAATTAACAGACAAGTTCATTTCATATACAGTTTGTTTTACCGACATCTCATTTCATAAACAACTTATTTCACCGACAGCTCATCTCGCAAAGTAATTCTAGTTATTGTCATTAGAATTAATTTAAACTAGGGTTAAGTTAGTGCAATTTACAAGAAAAGACTTATCTGTGAAATGAGCTAAACTAGTCTGTGAGTTAATTGTTGGTGAAATAAGGTGTTTATAAAATCAATACAGATCCCCGATGCGAATCATCTAGGATAAATTAGTGGAGCAATCAAAATTCAGCAGATGACCAAAATTTAGGGTCGGAATAAGCCCGAGGTTAAGCCGGCATTAAGCAATCAACTATACTATATACAGCAAAATTAACATCTGGGCAGCTTTACTTAGTACAGTACGTGGGTTATCATTTCATTAGTAAAATTTTGGATGACTGGGAGAAATATATCAATTCCGGCCTATTCCGACCCTAAATTTTTGGTTGCTCCACTAACGCTAATCTATTCTTAACCGAATGATTATTCTGCCGATTCGACAAATTATTGATTTCGGCATGATCAATGTAATGTTTATTATTTACGAAAATAGTCTAAAGCTTTGTATGTTCGAAGGTGCTAATCGATTTGTAAATTAAATTCACGTGAAACTACAAGGCTTCAAACGATCTCTATTTTCACGTCCTAACTAAAGTTCCATTTCAAATTGTAACTCATACAAAGATCAGTTTGGCTTTTCTTCCATTAGTCTTAAGATATTTTGTATCATTCAGGTTTAATAGTCGTGATTTTCTTACAAGCGGCGGAAGTCTTTCAACGCATCCATATCTTTGAAATTGGTTGAAAATTCGACATATTGAAGATCTGCTAACACCTAAGTGTTTAGCGGTTGTTCGAATTTATAACTCTTCTAAATTTTTTTTCGACTACTTTCCAGTGAATATGCTTCTAAATTATAATACTTAACTAGCATCTACGTACGTACCTGGCTTTAGACCATCTTTGTAAATAATAAACGTTACATTGATCATACCGAAATCAATAACTTATCGAATCGGCAGAATAATCATTCGGTTAATTTTTCACAAGGTCCCACTAGAGCGTATCGGTATTTCAGTATAGAGGCCTGCACGGGTCGGGCCGAAATTTGAGAAATTTAAAATCTCTCAAAATTGCGGGTCTGGTGTGTCAAAAACATAGTAAATTGCGGGCCGAACTTTTAAAAAACATAGTAAATTTTATTTTGCGGACTGTGCGGGCCGGCAAAAGTACGAACAAATTTTTAGGCTCGTGCAGCAGTATTTAAGATAATCGAAATATATTGTATGCATGTGATATTTGTTGCACAACATCTATTTGAATGTTGATTCATGATCCAAACCTGGCACAGATTCAAAAATTCTCTTCAACGACCCCGGTTGTAGGCAAGTTTAATCACGAGATTGATTTATAAAGTTGATACGCACGTACCTCTACGTATCTTTACAAGAAGCTCCTTAGCCACGACGTGTACGATCTTTAGAGGATTATGCCATATTACCGTCTTAAAGGTATAATCGGCTTAGATTCTTTTTACACTTAAAGCTTATAATACATTTCTTAAAGCTTACTTTCTTTCAAAGATCTCATAAAGGCCATACGTGCCTGTAAGACTGCTGCTGATGAAAGAGCTGTCATCCAGAAGGAATCGGCAGCTATTCGTACTAGTTTTAAGGAAGAAAATAATGACGCTCGTCATTCGAATGTGGCTAAATTACTTTATATACACATGCTGGGTTATCCAGCCCACTTTGGCCAAATCGAATGCTTAAAATTAGTAGCATCAAATCGATTTGCGGATAAAAGACTGGGTTATCTAGGAATCATGCTTTTATTGGATGAAAACCAAGAAGTGCTAACGTTGGTCACGAATTCCTTGAAAAAGTAATTTTATATAATCTTTTGCTTCAGATGGTTTTAAGACACAAAGTAGTCTACCTTTTGAATTTTATCCTTGACACAGAAATTAATTTTTCGAATTCAGCGATATGAACCATTCCAATATGTATATTGTTGGTTTAGCATTATGCACTTTAGGAAATATATCGTCTCCTGAAATGGCGCGTGATTTATGTGCAGAAGTTGAAAAACTACTAGGCAGTTCCAATGCATATATCCGGAAAAAGGTTAATTACCATGGAACTCTGATTTTGTTATCGGTATCGCTTCAACTATTATCTTGTAATCTAATCTTTCTTTTTCCACCTTTTTTGGACAAATAAACTTATTTGAAAAAAAGGCTGCGTTGTGCGCGATGCGGATCATTCGTAAAGTTTCTGATCTACAGGAAAATTTTTTGAGTAGAGCAAAAAGTAATTTGAGTGACAGAAATCATGGCGTATTATTAACAGCAATTACTCTTATCATTGAGATGTGCTATCAAAATCCAGAAACTTTACAAACTTTTCGCAAGGTTGATAATTTTTCATCAATTTATTATTTCCATTATAATGATTACATAATTTCATATCTGGATTGTTATGATAGGCAGTTCCATTGTTGGTTAGACATTTAAAATCACTGGTTTCAGCTGGATTTTCACAAGAGCACGATGTAACTGGCGTCACAGACCCATTTTTGCAGGTTAAAATCTTGAGGCTCTTGCGAATTCTAGGTAAAGGAGATGCTGAAGCAAGTGAAGCAATGAACGATATTCTTGCTCAGGTTCGTATTTATAACATCAATTTAGTTATTCAGCTTCAATTGTTGAACGATTCCTTTATTGGTGTATTTATAGGTTGCCACGAATACTGAATCGTCAAAAAATGTTGGAAATTCGATACTGTATGAAACTGTACAAACTATCATGGAAATTCAGTCTGAAAGTGGCCTTCGTGTTTTAGCCATCAATATTCTTGGCAAATTTTTGACAAACAGAGATAATAATATTAGGTATTAAGGATATTGATTATTATTATTATTATTATTATTACCATTTTACAATCTGATTATTTTACCATGTCATAATTTGATCATATTAGATATGTCGCATTGACCACGCTTAATAAGACGGTATCATTAGATACAAACGCAGTTCAACGTCATAGAAACATCATCCTCGACTGTTTGCGAGATGGCGATATTTCCATACGACGTCGCGCATTGGAGCTTTCATTTGCATTAATTAATGAATCAAATGTTAGAGTGTTAACACGTGAGTTATTGGCCTTCTTGGAAGTGGCCGATAATGAGTTCAAACAGGGAATGACGACAAAAATTTGCTTGGCTGCTGACAGGTTTATATTTAATTCGTCACGTTACTTTTAGTAAATATTACTAAACTATTCTACATTTAATAGGTTCGCTCCCAATAAACGATGGCATATTGATACAGTATTACGTGTTTTGAAACTGGTACATTCTTAAAATGTTATGAAATCTTTTAAATTCTCTTGATACTATATTTATCGTTATTTGCATTTGGAGTAGGCTGGAAATTACGTTCGTGAGGAAATTTTATCAAATTTTATTCGCCTAATTGCACAGACGACCGAATTAAATGCATACACAGCCCAAAAATTGTATTCGGCATTGAAATCTGACATTTCACAAGTAATTAATTATTTTTTTTTTTTATGTATTTTATAATTCTTGTTTCATTGTCAGCCGATTAATAAAAAATAATATTTAGGAATCACTAACTTTAGCTGGTGTATGGGTAATTGGAGAATACGGTGATATATTGATAAAAGGCGGCAACTTTGAAGAAGAAGAACTTGTCAAAGAGGTTTGTCAATCTAAAAATAGCTCGCAAAATGGTTGAACATTTGTGATAGACAACAGAAGCTTTTTGTTATAGGTTACTGAATCGGATGTTATTGATCTCCTGGAATTAATTCTCGCTGGACCTTACGCTAACCAAGTAACCCGGGAATATGTTCTTACCGCACTTATGAAACTGACTTCGCGATTCACGTCAACATCGTCCGTTCAGCGTATCCAAGCTTATATTGAAAGATATAATACCAGCATTGAAGTAGAAATTCAACAACGTGCTGTTGAATATGGCAACTTATTTAAAGTAGAAACGATCCGGCCGGCAGTTTTGGAGCGAATGCCGATTCCTGAAGTCAAGGAAGAGGTTATTCGACCAAGTAATACTTATTTATTTTATGTATTATCAAATTATTTCACTTGCATATTGCTAACGCTTCATTTTGGTAATAGTCGGTGATACAGGTTCACTATTAGATGACATTGGTGCTAAGAATTCAAACGGTGGCGTAGAAGTAAGTGGTGTTTAAATGGAATGATAAAAGATTTTGCATTTGCCTCATATGTTAATACGGTTATTGTTTTCTCTCTAAGACACTTGTAGATTTTGGCGGAAATGATTCAACCCAATCTAAAAAGCATGCACCTGAAAGCAATAAAACTACTGTAGACATTCTGGCTGACATATTCGGTAGTGGATCTGCAGAAACAACTACCCCTACAGCTGTCGTACCACAAGATGCAAAAAATGATATCATGAATCTATTCACCTCTGAATCGACAACCACTCCAGTCACACCTGTACAAAATTCACAACAAACAAATCCTTTAGATAGCTTGGGTTTATTAGGACTTGGAGGATCCGAAGTTTCATCTCAACCTTCGACTACAACTACAGGTATTATAAACGCATTTCATAATAGGGACTGCAACAGATAATTTTATTCTTGGATTCATATCATCACTAATTTATTAATCTGCAATTTAGATCAATACGTAGCGTATAATAAAAATGGATTTAAAATTAGTTTAACCCCTTCTAAAGACCCAAGCAACCCTAATATTCTCAACATCGAAGTTACTTTTCACAATATCGGTGTAGGTGCAACAGTACAAAACCTTTTATTCCAGGCGGCCGTTCCAAAGGTTAACTATGCGTTTATTTTAATTTGGAACCTTCTATATGTTTTATTTTATATTAAAAAACATTTTTTGAATTATTTTAGACTCAGAAACTACAAATGCAACCACCTTCATCGACAACCATTTTACCTGGTGCTACAACACAACAAATAATTCGTGTTGCCAATCCTCAAAAGGTAGAACATTACATTTACATTTGAGATATTTATTCACAAATTATTTAATTTTAATAACTTTAAACTACTTCTCAGTCGAACGTTAGGTTACGGCTTAGGATCGTATATTCTACTCCTGCAGGTGCTAAAGTAGATGAGATTTCTGAATTTAGTGGATTTCCACAAGAATTTTGGTGAAAAATATATGAACATTATTTAAAAGAATGTGTGTATTTTTTTTTTTTTTTTGATTGTATATTTTAGAATATATTGAATGTTGAGACAAATTATTAACAAGAATTATAATAGTTTAATTAAATGTAGCATACAACACATTCAACCTGCCGTCATGTTTCTATTAAATTTGTAATTGTAATCAAAAAGAAATAAACATTTATTTGGAACAATTAATACTATTGTACATTATGTATGTGGTAATAAATAAGTGTGCTTTGTAAGATATTGTATAGGTATATCTAAGATCACCAAACCTGGAATGCACAACTTTTCTCACACAAATGAGGTATCAGAAAATTATAACCTCAATAAAGTTAGGTCAGATTTTTTTATCTGACAATATTAACTTCAAAACTTTATAACTTTTATAAATTTATATAACATACATTGCTCTATGATGTACTAGTCAGTTTTCCGTTCAAAAAGCGAAAATAAGTCACGTGATAATATAGTATACGTAGACTACTTGAACGGAGCCAATTTTTTATTAACGTTAAGTTCTCTAATATGTTAAATCTTGATATAGTATCTGAACCTGATTTACGATGCATTGGGCTACCGATAGATATTATTCCAGGGTACTGAAGGCTAATACCGTAGAGTGTTATTCCCCCTTACTTATACAAAAATAGCATACATATATAAAGAATTTTAATATTATGCTTTGGAGAATAATCAGGTCATATAAAACTTTTGAAGATAAATGTAAAGTATACCCGGGTACATCTGTAAATACCCGAATACCGGTTAGAACTTTATGGTAATGGAATGGATCGAAAGTTGATTACTTTAGACAGTGATGCAGTCGTGTTGATGATGTCCTTTTTCGTTCACTTGACGCTCTTAATAGAGTTACGACCCCAAGTTACTACATAGCATGGGATCTCAAATAGTATTTATACACTAGGTTTCGCAAAAATGTCTCCAATTTGCATAATGTCAAATACTTTTGACAATTACGGCAAATAATACCTCATCCCATAATCTAAATCTACTCAAGTCGATTTCAAAGAGATGGTTAAGACGTATATGAATTTGGTCCGAGTTCTTTCTCAGAATTAGCTTGCTGCGGATTTAAGTAGCTAGTGATTTGTGTCATTTTATATCATAACCAGGTAACTGAGATAGTTTGTTAGCTAATTAATTAGTTACCAAAAGCCGATAAAATTTTTTTATTTAACAGATGATTCTGGTAACGTTAACAATAACGATAAGGATCGAATTTTACTAAGGGTTTTTACTTTTCTGAGAACTTTCATTCGAAGGAAGCTTGATTGGAAGGTTTATTATTTACAATTCGAACTTACTATGAATGTTAAAAACTTTCATTTTTATGATTATTATTCATTTATTGTGCACATATTCGACATAAGCATTAAACCTACTGTAGCATATTACTTTATTCAATGTATCCTGGTTAGTTACTAAATCCTTCTTAAATTAATTTGAAAATAAGAATCGCAAAAGTGTTTATAATTTACAACATTGATTTAACAAGTTTGAATTTTACACTATAGACATACATTTAGATTCTAATTATTATACCAAATTCCCAAATGAAGTAGAAATCCCGGTTTCTAAACCTAAACTATGCAATAATGTCATAATTCAAAAGTGGTTTGAGTCGCAACACTAGCTTTTGATGATGATGATTGATGTCTATCATGTTGTTTATATTTCTGTGAAGACGTTGATGAATGTCGACTATGCTGTCGGTTATGTTGTCGGCTATGTTGTCTGCTATGTTGTTGTTTTGTAGGCGAACTCGGTGCGGAATATTGCACCGATTGACGTTTTTTATGGAGTGGTTGAGGTACTTTAGGAAGCTTTGGAAGTCCAGCAATTTCACGAAAGAAATTTACTTGACTTAGAATTAGTTTCCATAAGATCCACCAGGCTGTTATATCAAAAATAGTAAATAAATAGCCTCAGAACGGTAGTGTAAGAATTAAACTTTTATGTAAAATAACTGATCTTACCTAGTAAAATGATCAATATGACAAGCACTAATGATATTACTAGTTTTAGAACATCAATAATAAATGTACTCAACATTATTTGATTATGGAATGTTAGTAAAAGTTGAATAGCATTACAATGTTTGGAGAGAAAGGTAAAGGTTTAAAAATGATTAGTCACGCGAAATTATCGGTTATAATGTTGATATGGTGACACAGTATGTGGAGTTATGGAGTTCAACAATGATTTCCGAGATCGACCTCTAACACACGCTCACGTGACGATTGGTTTCGAGTTAAATTCCCAAAAGGTCGCGTACCAGAACTACGTATTACTAGTTCTAAGAGACTCTCGTTTAATTATCATAAACTGTTAAATTTGCTTATCGTTATGTGTTTTGTCTGCGCTCAATAACACGTGTTTCTGCAGTGCTACTAATCGCGTCTTTCAATTAAGCCTCTTTCATTGTGTTGTTTTGGATTGTTAATGTTACACGATATCTTTTTATTGTTATTGGTCGATTGACATGTGATATAAATTTACTCGAGGAAGAGCGCTAAATTCATCTGAGATGAAACTTTCGATACAAGTAAATTTTTTTCGCGTTTTCGTCCGACATTCCAATACAGCAATAGCCAATGTTAATTATAAGGTTATGATATGCCGGCTCAAACTCAAAATGTAGATTCTGCCAAGTTTGACACAGGCCGGTATATGCCATTGGAGAACCTCTCAGACTAATGCAAACAATTCAATCGCTCATTGTTCTTCGACTTCAATAGACACAGATGGGTAACAAAAATCATAAGTTTTGCTTGAAAATTATATCAGTATTCTGCACCAAAATTCGGCTTCCACGTGATCAAAATTGTGACTCAACCCAATCAAATCTCGAGATCAGGTGTAACGTAACACGAACAGAAAATTTCAAAACAAATGCGCTTTGTCGAAAATCGTTTATAGCTCAAAAAAAATCCGCATAGAAACTACCTTTCATGCCTTAATACAAACACCTTAATACAAACACAAACACTATCCTTAAAGAATTTTCGACTATCACCGAATTTTGGTGGCAATACTAGGGAAGATGCAACTTGAAACAAAAATAGGATCAATTATAAGACCCAGGAGAAAAACCATCAATTTAGGCAAAAATCTGGGTAATTGATTAAATTTCAGTAACGTACATTTGGTTTTATTGAATCGATGACTTAGACTTGATTTTTGCATTGTCGACTTAATAATACCGCATTAGGTCCACCGAAAAGAGTAAAAATAAACGAAGAATTGATCCAAAAAGAGAAGGATGCGCTTAATATTATTCCTGAATCCGATAGTTCACAGAATTCAAGTTCAGGTAATACCTTTTTTTTTCAAAAAAAGAACAAAAAAAAATAATACATACACGTACTAATTATCGTTTTAAGTCCAAAATCAGGAAACTGTTAAAAAGGAGTCATCTCCGATATCTAACGAATGTTCAAGTCAACCTTCAGAATCAAAATTATTGAGTGCTATTCCGACGTCAAATATGAATACAAATAAAGATACTATATTAGTAAGTAAATTTAAAACATTGTCGTTGATATAATCGTACAATATACATATTAATTATTTAAGATTGCAGCTCAACGGTAAGACTTACACGCGTACAAAATACATCGGTCGTGGTGGTAGCAGCAAAGTATATAAGGTCATAGATTCGAATTCTCAAGTTTTTGCCCTGAAAAAGGTCTCAACTAAGAAGGTGGACGAACAGACTATTAAAGGCTATCAAAATGAAGTTGAGTTATTGCAAAAGCTAGCTGGAAGAGATCGTATAATAAAATTATATGATCACGAGGTTAACGTTGAAGAAGGATATATATTAATGGTTGAGTGAATTCAATAAACTATTTTATCTATCTGATTTTATCCATTAATGATCTATATATTATTAATATTATCGTTATTATTAGCTAATGGAATGTGGACAAATTGACTTGGCAAATTTACTCAATAGTAAAAATGGAAAGCCTATAAAAATAGATTTTATCCGAACATGTTGGCAACAGGTATTATGTAATAAAAAATTGGTCTATAGATGTGATGAAACAATTTTTAACGCGATTTTTTTCCTTAATGTATATAGATGCTCGAAGCTGTCTACACGATTCATTTGGAAAAAATCGTTCATTCAGATTTGAAACCAGCAAACTTCATTATAACTGATGGATCCCTAAAATTAATTGATTTTGGTATAGCAAGAACTATACAGAACGATACTACAAATATTCATAGGGAGCAACAGGTATGTAATTGAATGCTTCAATATATGCTATTGTTAATTTTATCGTAACCGAATTTTTATTGTTAATGCTTTAGGTTGGAACAATAAATTACATGTCACCAGAAGCTATTCAGGATTACAATGCTAATAATAAATCTGAAGGAAAATTAATAAAAGTAAGTAAGTAATACCTATTCTTTGAACCATATACAGATACATAATGATTAATTATTCATTTATGCGATACGTAGCTGGGACGTGCAAGCGACGTTTGGTCTTTAGGCTGCATTCTTTATCAACTAGTTTATGGTCATACGCCATTTGCCCATCTAAACATGTATCAAAAATTCAAATGTATTCCTGACCCCGATTACGATATCGAGTTTCCTCCGACTTCCAGTTTGATATACAATGCTAATCAAGCACATTCAGCTGATGAAAACGAGATTAACCAAGACGTTCCGGTTGATGAAAATTTGCTGAGAATTATGAAAAATTGTTTGCAAAGAAATCCTAAAGCCCGAGCCACAATTCCAGAGTTGTTGGCTGATCCTTTTCTTAGTGGGTCATATGTAAAAGGTAATTATCAATATTTGGTTTGAACATATTGATTGTTAGAGATTTACACGGGCCTGTCTATGTGGGCAGGTTTTTATTTATTGTAAACTGTTTAATGCGAATAATTAATTTTAGCATTAGAACAAGTTTTAAATAATTTGACCCGCGAAATAATTAATTTTAGTATCAGAACCGATATTAAATAATTTGATCCATGAAATAATTAAATATACCGAAACGGCTAAGATTACGCATGACTCACATGAACAAATTACCATGATCACAAAGGTTAGGGTTTATATTTAAATTCAAATTCTTACTAAATACTTGAACTAACTCTTTGTTGAACTTAGTCAATTTTTTCCCAGCTCCGTAACAAAGAGCTGATAAGTTGTGAGCAATGGGGAGATAAATAAAGTTGCTTAGTTTATAAAGAAAAGGAAATTGGTAATGTTGTGGCGACTGTTTTGACTGGTTATCTTTATTTTTTATTTTTTTTTTTTAAATCAATTGTACATTAATAATAGTAAATGACTGATTGTCAGGAATAAATAATAGTTTACTGATTTTAATTATATAAATAAAAAATGATATATACAATTAGTCTGTATGACGGCATTATCATTACGTAGCGATTTGGCTCTACGTAATCGTTAGTCGACTAATTTTGTTATCACAAAGTAAAATAATAGAAATAATACGAAGAATTTCATAACGATAGGCTATCATGTTATTGGAATACACAGCAGCTTAGTCAATGCTTTTAATTGACTATTTTACCCAGCCGACTAAAACCATGTGGATTAAAACACCATCAGAGTAGGGGCCTGCACAAAATAAAATGTTTTTTTAAAGTTCGGCCCGCGGAGTGATTTTCCTAGCAAAGATCAAATTCTCCAGCAAATAGACCCATGCTATTATTTATACTGTAAATTGCGGATATTCACACGGGTCAATCATAACTAATAATCGATTATCGTTATCCGTGAATTTTGTGTGACCAAATATCGAATATTAAATGAATATTCATTTCTAACCATTAATATTCATGGATCCGACTCCTACAGCAAAAAAGTCTGCAAAAGAGCTAAAAGCAGAACGTCGCGCAATACAGGAGCGTCAAAGGGCCGAGAAAGCTGCGCGGGCTGCTGGAAATGCTGCAACTCCATCCAAAAAACCCGCACATGGAGCTGTTACTAGTACAACCGTAGGATCTAGCTCTACTACTTCAACTGCGGCAACTGCTCCTTCTGAAACTGCTGGGCCTATTAAAGCTATTGACTCTAAACAAAAGAATTCTCAAACTAAAGAGACTAAAGAAACTAACAACAAGCAAGTTGATATGTTTTCTCATTTGGAAATTCCGAAAGGTACTAACACGAGCATGGCTACCAAAGAAATTCATCCTGCAATTTTGGTGCTTGGTTTACAATTTTCAGAATTCAAAATTTGTGGTGCAAATGCCCGTTGTATTGCAGCGCTGACAGCTTTTCAGAAAGTAGTGTAAATTATCATTATAATTATGTTTATGGTGTATTTATGTCTTAACTTGGGTACATAATTAAATAGGTTATTCAGGATTACAAAACGCCAGAAGGTACAACTCTTTCGCGCCATTTACCCACTCATCTTTCCCCCCAAATTTCTTATCTGGTAAATTCTCGCCCAATGTCTGTTGGAATGGGTAATGCGATCCGGCACCTCAAATGGGAAATATCCACAATAGATATTGAAATGTCAGAAGATGAAGTATGAATATGTGCTTATATTATTATTGTGTTATAATTAGAATTGTTGAACGAATATAATTGGTATAGGCGAAGCAATTATTATGCAAGAAAATCGATAACTTTATTCGTGATAGTATAACGGTTGCGGATCGTGTGATTGTTGAATATGGTTTACAAAAAATTCAGGATGATGACGTAATATTAACATATGCTAGGTTAGTTATATCAATTTTGTTTCTACATTTCTTATTTAATTATGCTTGATATATTTGAATTGAAATATGGTTTTAATCCAGATCATCAGTTGTGCAGGCATTATTATTGGAAGCGCACGCCAAGGGAATAAGGTTCAAAGTTATTATTATCGATTCAAGACCAAGACTTGAAGGTAATGGGATAAAATACTATTATACCATGTTTATTTATGGAAAATTAATTTTTTTATATTTTTATTTAAAGGTAAAAAACTTTTGAATCGTCTCGTGGATGCTGGTATTAACTGCACATATGCTTTTCTTCATGCTGTTGGATTTGCGATGAGGGATGTTTCAAAAGTTTTTTTGGGAGCGCATGCTTTCATGTCGAATGGTGCTCTTTATTCGCGTGTAGGCACTGCAATGGTCGCAATGATGGCAAAGGAAAAGAACATTCCAGTTATTATTTGCTGTGAGACTTATAAGTTTACAGATAAGGTTCAATTAGATTCTTTTGTAATGAATGAACAAGGTAATCCTAATGATATGGTGAATATTTCTACTACCTTAACTCCAAAGCCTGGGTTGCTGTCTGAGTGGCTAAATAAGCCAGATCTGAAACTGTTAAATTTATTATACGATTTAACACCTTCAAAATATATTACAACCGTTATAACGGAGGTTGGAATGATCCCGTGTACTAGTGTGCCAGTGGTAAGTTTCTTTTTTTTCAAGTCAAATATTTTTACAAATAAACATGAATTCAAATTAATAAAACACAATTTAAATGTTCTTTTAGATATTAAGAGAATACAAGTAAGTTATATCTTTATACATGTTTACCGTTATATATTCACGCTATACTCCCTTGCTAATGGACGCTTTTTTGAATTTAGGCCGATGTTACAATAAAATAATTAATTCATATAATATTATAAATAATAGATTATAATGTGAAATTGAAAACTTGCTTGAGTATTTTTATAAGAATTCCGTTATTGGTATTTGATATTCCATTGTACTCTAAAGAAAAGTGTTGTATATAACTAATAAAGACGACATTCAGATAAAGGCTCAGCATTATAATTTTATATCAAAAATAAATTATAAATTAGAGGCTCATAAAATAAACTTTATTAATTAATCAATCGGAGAATTTTAAAATAATCTAGGCTAATTCAGTGATAGTATATAATTTTTATGTCTATTATGCGTGAGATTGCAGCTGACGCACCTCAGATAACTATCAGATGACAAACATTAAATAATTCTGTAATAATTGGCCTAAATTATACCGTAATTTTCATCCCAACTCAAATTCTAACTCAGGTCGGGCTAATTACATTAATCAAGATTTTTTTTTAGTGTATGTAGATCAGCATTAAAAGCATAGAAAACTCAAGCTGCAATAACTCTTGAACCAGCAAACACACACAAATAAAATTATATTTATCGGGTTTGTTATAATGTGCTCTTTAACGTAATAACGCTCTTTTTTTTTTATTTCCATTGTCTGGGGCGTAGCAGGGAACTCAAAGAATTTTCGTTTTATTTATTTTAACACGCAAGTTTTAACGCAAGTTTTAACACAAGTTTTAACGCAAGTTTTAACACAAGTTTTAACGCAAGTTTTAACGCAAATTTTAACGCAAGTTTTAGCGCAAGTTTTAACGCAAGTTTTAGCACAATTAACACAAGAATAAGATTCTCTGTAATTTGTGCTACGTGTTTTGCTTTTTTTTGGATTTTTTGTGCTTTTTTCCTTTTATTTTTGGCAATTTTGGAAGTACAAATTTACAGACAGAGTTTCACAAAAATTGTTGCGTTGTGACCACATGTTACTCTTGATCATGCACCTCTCGCTCCACTTCCTTTCACTCTGAATGATGCTCCTATTAATACTGAAAAACATGAAAATCCTGTGTAATAGATAGACCCTT